AGCCACCAGCGCCCGGCTCCATGGTGGTTTTCATGAGGCTGGTCTGTGCCTCCTGAGTGGGGGGTTCCATTTCCTGGAGCCTACCAGCCCAGGGGGCACTACAAAAAACATGCTGCTATGTCGCCTCCCGCCACTGGGGGGCAGCAGGAGGCAGCACTAGCTCTGACTCCAACATAACCCCACCCTGCACAACACACGTGACACATTGCAACACATGACACGGTACATGGCACACACGGCATCACGTGCATGGCGAACAGCACACTACATGCTGCAACATGTAACCTGCTACACACGACACCACACACAAAACAGCAGACACAGCACCACACAGTGAGTGGCACATGCAACATACAAGACAAAACATACAACACGCCACAAACCACACATGCCACACCACACACAGGATGCACACAGCACACTTCACATACACACACATACACACAGAGCATTAGACACTAAAACCCTCCAGCTGCTCGGCCAGGATAGAGAGCTCAGCCCAGCACTTGCCTTATGTCCAAGTCCTTGAGTTCAAGCCCAGCAAAAACAACTAAACAAACCCTATGTTTGCTCCTGGGCTGGGCGTAGCTCCATGGCAGAGCATTTTCCTAACATATACAAGGCCTGGGGTTCCATCACCAATAATTTCCCCTTCTCCCCAAAAAAATACATGGAACACTTTTTCTTTACACTAAACCAGGCATGGTAGTACACTGCTGTAATCCCAGCATTTGGCATGCTGAGGCCAGAAAGATCATGAGGTCAAAGCCATCCCAGACCAGGTGTTAGTGGCTCACGCCTGTCATCCTAGCTACTCAGGAGACTGAGATCTGGGGATCTCAGTTCAAAGCCAGCCCGGGCAGGAAAGTCCATGAGACTCTTATCTCCAGTGAACCACCAGAAAACTAGAAGTGGCGCTGTGGCTCAAGCGGTAGAGTGCTCACCTTGAGCAAAAGAGGTCAGGGACAGCGCCCAGGCCCAGAGTTCAAGCCCCACGACTGACAACATCAATTAATCAGTCTCAGGGACAGTGCTCAGAACCTGAGTTCAAGTTCAAGATTAATAACAACATGATTAACAACAAGTTCAAGATTAACAACAACAACAACAATAATAGTAATAGATCCTCATGGATACTCAAATATACCCTCTCCTGGACAAATTCACACTTAGACACACACTCACAGAACTCACAGAGAGGATCGCACACACACATACACACTCACCCCACGGTGGGCATTCCCCAAAGGCTGGCGGTTATGGAAGCCTTGCCCTCCCCCCTGCAGCCCTGCGAACCCCAGCTGTCCAGCGCCCCCCGCCCCCAGGCTGAGGCCACCACGAACCCAGGCGTGGCGAGGGCTGGTGGCTCTGTGGCTCCCGTGGCTCGGTGGGGCAGCCCCGCCCCTTGCTGCTGGGGGGAGGGGGGCTGGCAGGAATCCCCAGCCGGGCTCCAGCTTCTCCCCTGGGCTGCGTCAGTCTCCCAGGGCGCCCCCATGGCTGAGCGGGGACTCCACCACTCTTGGCCGGCTCTGTCCAAGCTGTGGCCCAAACGCTGGGCCTTCAAGCGAGGTAAGGGGATGGAGGCGGAGGTGGGGGGAGAACTGGGGATCCCTCAAATCCCAGCTGGAACCTCTAGACAGTCTTCCCTCCACCACCACCCCCATTCCCCAGGAGCCATTTCTCAGCTAGGACACGGCCTCTGGGCCTGACAGGGCCCCGGATTCATTCCCTGATCACCCTGAAATTCCCCCCAGAATACCCCCAAAGTCACGAAAGTCGGGGAACCCTCTTCTCTAAAGGTTCTGCCAGGAAGTGATTTAAAAAACAAAAAACCTTCTTGGCTGGTTCCCAGGGACAGCTTATGACTTGGAGGAGGTCCCCTGATACTCTGGGCTCCTGGAAGAGAGAGGGGGTGTGCAGCCAGGCACCTGTGGCTCACGCCAGTCATCCTAGCTACTCAGGAGGCTGAGATCTGAGGATCGTGGTTCGAAGCCAGCCTGGGAAGGAAAGTCTGGGGCTTCAACTCGGCCTGGGCGCCGTCCCTCAGCCTTTTAGCTCAAGGCAAGCACTCTACCACTTGAGCCACAGCACCACTTCTGGTTTTCTCTGTGGTTTATTGGAGATAAGAGTCCCATGGACTTTTCCTGCCCAGGCTGGCTTTGAACCGTGATCCTCAGATCTCAGCCTCCTGAGTAGCTAGGATGACAGGCGTGAGCCACCGGCTCCCAGCTGGGAGATGCTTATCTCCAGTAAGTCACCAAAAAACCAGAAGTAGAGCTGTGGCTCAAAGTGGTAGAGCACCAGCCTTCACCAAAAGAGCTCAGGAACAGCACCCAGGCTCTGAGTTCAGTTCAAACCCTGAGACCAGCACACACACACACACACACACACACACACAGATTATCCTTCTCCTTGTGTACCACAAATGGGCCAGGGTTTGAAGAGAACCAGAGTGGCTTAGGAACTGGAATTCATTAGGAATGCAATCATCAAGTTGGGCTCAGAGAGGATGAGCAAATGCCTCCAGGTTACACAGCAAGAGGTTCTCAAGATGTTAAGCCAGTTCAGTTCTGGGGTTGCTTCTGTGATAGGTTCTGGCCAGTGAACGGAACTGCCAAAGTGGGGTACCCCAAGTGCCTGGAAAGGGTATTTTAAGTCATTGCTTGGCAATCATCAAGGTAGTAGGTTTGGGGTCTTGGCTCTTGAGGAAAGTCTGGGGTCTTCCCCCTTCTTCCCCCCACCCAGACAGGCTGTTGGAAGGGCAGCCCATGGTTCTTAAACCCCCTTTTATGGCTGAGGCTGTGGAGGTGAGGCCTGGGGGAGCAGAAGGAGGGGAAAGAGGAAGAGGATTTGCATTTGAATCCAGGGTGAGTGATGTCTCCTTAGAGTCAGGGGAGTGAGAAAGGGCTATCCCAGCTGAACCCCTTGTCTGGCTCAGGCCAGCCCCCACCCCCTACTCCAATGACACCTTAATGGCCCAAGGCCTGTAATCACTCCTGGGACACAGGGAGAAATGGCTCTTTGTTGTCCTTAGATCAGTTATCAGGCACCTAATAGGAATCCCTAGGGAGGCTGTAGGCGGGGCTGGGTGGGGGGAAGATTTGGAGTGAGGGTCCTGAAGCAGGAGTCCTCTCCTGTCCCCCAGCCCCCACTTCCCCAGGTCCCCATTGAGCCCTCAGCTTCTCATTCATTTCTGTCTGTGCACAACTAATGAGTGCATTCTGTGGCTCACCTTGTCTCCCTCCTCCTCCCCCCTCCTCTCCCTCCTCCTTCTCCCTTCCCCAAGTTCTGCACCCACTGATCCACCCATCCACCCACCCATCCAACCATCCACCCCTCCACCCTTCCACCCATCCATCCACTCACCCACCCATTCACTCACCCGTCCACCCATTCATCCATCCTATAACCACCTTTCTGTGCATCTTTCCATCTACCCTTCTGTACATCTATCCACCCCCCCCCATCCATTTATCCGACCATCCACCTTCTGTCCATCCATTCACCCATCCATCCATCTACCCATCTATTTTTCTGAGCATCATCTGTCAATCCATCCATCTATCCACCCACTCACTTATCCATCCATTCATCCTCCTTCGTTGCAATAGGGCCTACTGTGTGTTGTGGGTAGGATGAATGTAAGGAGGGGTGAGAGGACTCCACTATCAAGACAATGAAATGCAGTCTGTGGACAGGCACACAGACCTGTGGAAGGTAGCCGCCGGCAGATTTGTGTGGGGCTGGGTTAAGCGCTCCATGCTCAGGGTTTTAGAGCAGAATAGAGAGAGGCCTCAGGCAGTGGTTCCACAGAAAGAGCCGAGACAGTGCCAGGGTTGGACCCAGAGATTCATCTTCCTATGGCAAGTGACAAAGAGCCTCCTTGCGGGCTCAGATAGCCTGGGCGGGGAGGTGACACGCTCTAGCTACAGAGGCAGGACTAAGAAAAGGACTCATTTCAGCACCCAGGATCAATCCAAAACCCCTATTGGCCTGGAAGGCAAAGAAGCTAGTCAAAAATAACCAAGAATAGCCAGACGCCCGTGGCTCACGCCCTTCATCTTAGCTATTCAGGAGGCTGAGACCTGAGGATCATGGTTCAAAGCCAACCTGGGCATGAGATTCTTATCTCCTATGAACGAACAGAAAACCGGAAGTGGTTCTATGGCTCAAGTGGTAGAGAGCTTGCCTTGAGCTGGAGAGCTGAGGGACAGTACCCAGGCCCTGAGTTCAAGCCCACGACTGACAAAAAATAAAAATAAAAATAACCAAGAATAAACCAGGATGGACCCCTTCACCCTCACCAAAGTCCTGACAGGTGGTCACATGCCCCATCCACCTCCCAAGGGAAGAAACATGTTTGCTGCAAATATGTGTGTGTGTGTGTGTGTGTGTGTGTGTGTATGTGTGTGTGTGTGTGTGTGTGTGTGTGTGTGTATCTGTACTGGCCAGTCCCGAAAGGTGCTTGACCTCCACAGCCCTTGCTTTCTCCCCTGTAGTGTGCTCCCTCAAAGGTTCCCAAAACTCTGGGGCCCTTAAGAACTCAGAGGTCAGAGGAGATGTGGATTTAGGAAGAGGAAGAGAGAGGCTAAAGTCTCCCCCCCCTCCCGTTCCAGACTGTCCTGCAAATGTGGGCATGGGCTTGGAGCATTGTTTTAGCCAAAGCAGGCATAACCAATCAGTATCACTTGACAAACCAACTGGGATTGGCTAGTGTTGGCCGGTGGACCCAATCAATGTGCTTGGGGGAAATTCTAAGAGGCAAATGTCCCAGTGAGAGCAAAGCTTGGTGATTGATTAGTAATGTCTGCCCTGGACTGAGGATAAGTGTTGGAGGGGGCACATATGTTGGCTGCAAGATCATTGAAAGTTCTTTGCCAACATCACCCTCTTGTACAGGGCAAGCAGAAGCAGGTACAGAACTCACGTCTTTCCTGTGACAGCTTAGCCCTGACTTCTTGTCTTTCCTCTGTCTACAGGGTCAGAGCCCAAGTCATGTAACCAGCAACCCTTTGACTCTGGAGCTGTCCCCAAGAGCAGACGTGAACCCTGGAGGCCGGAGAACCCAGATTTCTTCTCCACCATGGAGGATGAGCAGGCAGGTGACAGGCTGCTGAGGCAGGCAGGGGCTAGATGACAACTGTGACAGAGCAACTATACTGGTTTAGAACCCGTGCTTACCAAGCACCAAGTATATGCATGCATGCTCAGGGAGCCCTCGCCAAAATGTGTTCATGGATGACAAAACTGGATTCTTTCTGGAATAAGGGAATGGAATTAAGAAGGATGGGTAGACTATGGGATGGGGTGGATAGAGGATGGATGATGGGAAGGTGGATGGATGGATGGATCAATGGATGGAGTGATGGATGGTGGATGGATGGATAGACGAATGAAGAGTTGGGGAACGGATGGGTGGGTAAATAGATGAATGGATGGATGGTTATATGAGGGGATGGATGAATGGGTGTGTAGATGAATGGATGAATATGTGGATGGATAAGTTGATGGATGAATGAATGGATGATGGATAGATGGACAGTGGATGGATGGATGGTGGATGGATGGATAGATAGATGGGTGGGTGGTGGACAGATGGATAAACAGATGGATGGATGGATGGATAGGTGAGTGAATAGATGGATACATGAGTAGAAGATTAGATGAGTAGATGTATAAATGAGTGGGTAGATGGATGAATGGATGGATGGGTATATGCGAGGATGGATGGATGTGTGGGTGGATGGATGGATGGATGGATGGGTGGATGGATAGATATGGATAGGTGTATAGCTGATGAGTGGTGGGTGGATGGATGGAAGTGTGGGTGGGGGGAGACATATGAATTGATGGTGGATAGATGGGTGTGTGGACAGATGGATGGGTAAGTGGATGGCAGATGGATGGATGGATAGATGGATGGGTAGGTGGGTGGATAGATGGATGATGGATGGGTGGATGAATGGTTGATGGATAGATGGATAGGTAGATGGGTAGTGGATGGATGAATGGGTAGATAAGTGGTGGATGGAGTCATGGATGGAAAGGAAGGGGAGAAGAAGGAAGGAAGGAAGGAAAGTTTAGAATATTTTTAAATCGATGATAAGGTAATAATGACTCGTACATTCAAAATACAAGTGTAGGGCTGGGAAGTTGGCTCAGTGGTAGAGCACTTGCCTTGCATGCCTGAGGCCCTGGGTTTGATTCCTCAGCACCACATAAGCAAAAAGAAAAAGGCCGGAAGTGGTGCTGTGGCTCAAGTGGTAGAGCACTAGCCTTGAAGCTGAAGAGCTGAGGGACAGCGCCCAGGCCCAGAGTTCAGGCCCCACAACTGGACCCAAAAAAAAAAAAAAAATACAAGTGTATTTTTGAGACAGAAGTAGGAGGATCCTAAGTCCAAAGCCACGTAGGCTAGATAGCAAGATGCTGTCTCAAGACTTCTGGGCTGGAGGGCTGGGGCATAGCTTATAGGGTAAAGCACTTACCTAGCACACATGAGGCCCTGAGTTCAAATCCCAGTACCACTGAGAAAAAAAAAATCCTGGGCTAGGGGCTCAGCAGTTGGGAGCTTGCTTAACATGTATGTCCACAGCTCTAGGTACATTCCTGGCACTCTCTGGGTGCCTTATGAGAGCTGAGGAGTCCTGGGGTGTTTGTTTCTGAGTTTGCCTTGAGAGGGGGCGGGGGATGGGCCCACTCTGGTTTCCAAGTCTGGGAATGGAGCTGAATTTACATCGTCCTTTGCAGGAATCAGGACAGGGGTTAATCAGAGGCTTGGAACGAGGGGGCTTGGGGGGGGGGGCTGGCTCCCATCTTTTCTCCATCAGGAAATGAGTCCAAGAAAGCAAAGCACAAGGCGCCCTCCCTCCTCCCTCTATGTACCTGCTCTGCTGCTGGCTGAGAGCTGGGACAGCCTGTGCCAATAACACCCCAGGCTTGCCCTCCTCCTCCTCCTCCCCCTCCTCCTCCCCGTCCCCCTCCCTCTCCCCTTAGCTCTGCTGGGGCTGAGGCAGACCAGATGCAAGAGGGGAAGGGAGCAGAGCCCAGTGAACGCTGCTGCGGCTGTCTGGCTGTGTTTATATTTACAAGAGGAAGAAAACCAGAGCCACAGAGGAAACCTTGAGGGGCTGAATGGTGAACGCGGTGGGTGTCAGGAAGAGCTGGTTCAGGCCTCAGAGGCTGGAATAGAACCATTTGAGGAAGAGGGGGAGGAGGGCAGGGAAGACCTACAAGCGTTGCTGCCAAAAATCACAGAGTAGCCAGAGCTCTCTGGGTCCAGAAGAAAAGAAGTGTTGGTATTTCAAGGACAGAGGGAAGAAGAGGAGGAGCCCCTTGGAAGGAAGAAGGAAACAAGAAGAGCTGCCCAAAGGGAGAGTTGTGAGGAGAGGGTGGGCTGTGCTAAACAAGGTGAGGCGCCCTCAAGTATTAAACATAGAATTATGCTATAAGGAAGCAACTGTACTGCTAGAAATATTCCTAAAAAAAACGGCAAGCAGGGCTGGGCCTGGTGATACACACTTGTAATCCCAGCAGTCGGGAGACAAAGGGCACAGAATCAGAAGTTCAAGGCCAGCTTTTAAGTACACAGAAAGATGCTCTCAAACATACAAATAAAAAAATGATTGTAGGCAGCAATACAGCAGATATTTATACACTCATGTTCTTTTTTTTTTTCTGGGTCCTAGGGCTTGAACTCAGGGCCTGGGTGCTGTCCCTGAACCTCTTTGTGCTCAAGGCTAGTAGTGCTCTATCACTTGAGCAACAGCACCAGTTCTGACTTTTTCTGAGTAGTTTACTGGAGATTAAGAGTCTCCTGGACTTTCCTGCTCAGGTTGGCTTCAAATGGCAATCCTCAGATCTCAGTCTCCTGAATAGCTAGGATTACAGGTGTGAGACACCAGTGCCCTATTCCTCCTCCTCCTCCTCCTCCTCCTCCTCCTCCTCCTCTCCTAGTTTTCCTTCTTCTTGTTCTCTTTGCAATATGGGGATTTCTATCCAGAGTCTCATGCTTGCTCAGCTGAACCTCTAACACTTGAGCCACACTTCCAGTCCATTTTTGCTGGTTTGGTGTGTGTGTATGTGTGTGTGTGTGTGTGTGTGTGTACACATGCACTTGCATGTGTGTGCCAGTTCTAGAGCCTGAACTCAGGGCCTGGGCTGTATTCTTGAGCTTATTTTAGTGCTTTACCACTTGAGCCACAGCTCCACTTCCAGCTTTTTGGTAGCTAAAATCTTACAGACTTTCCTGCCTGGGCTGGCTTGGAGCTCCAAACCTCAGATCTCAGCCTCTTGAGTAGCTAGAATTACAGGCGTGAGCCACCAATGTCTAGCTTTGCTAGTTATTTTGGAGATGGGGGTCTTATGGATTTTAGTGCCTGGACTGGCTTTGAACCACGACCCTCTGATCTCAGCCTCCTGTGTAGGATAGTAGGTGTGAGCTACTGACACCTATCTTATTGCTTATATTCTTTTAATTTTTGGTCACAGCCCCACTTCTGGTTTTCTGGTGGTTCATTGGAGATAAGAGTCTCACAGACTTTTCTGCCTGGACTGGCTTTGAACCATGATTCTCAGATCTCAGCCTCCTGAATAGCTAGGATTGCAGGTGTGAGCCACCTATACCCAGTTGCTTATATTCTAAACAGCAAGAACCACAACAGCAAAAAGCAGGGGTGTTGGGCTGTGGAGAGGGGAGTTCCTTCTGAGTGTAGATGGAGCTGCAGTGTGGGAGATAGAAGGTTCTGGAAGTGGAGGGTGCAGACCTCTAGATGGTCTTAGGCAGGTGCTTCATACTGCTCAACTGTCCCCTGAGCACCCCAGTAATTCAAGCTACTAGGGAGGTGAAGATTGGAAGGATCATGGTTTGAAGTCTGCCCAAGCAAAAAGTGAATGAGACCCTGTCTCAAGCAGTAGCCAAGTATAGTGGAGGGTACCTGTCATCCCAGGAAGCAGAGGTAGAATAGAAGTCTAGGTGGGCCTGAACAAAAACTCAAGAAACCATCAGAAAAGTAACAAAAGCAAAGACAATTGGAGATGTGGCTCAACGGGTAGTAGGTGTAGCTCAGTCCCTAGGGGCGTGGCTCAAGGAGTGGAGCCCCTGCCTAGCAAGCTCAAGGCCCTGAATGCAAACCCAAGTATAGAACGATGGCACTGGTGGCTCATGCCTGTCATCCTAGCTACTCAGGAAGCGGAGATCTGAGGATTGGGGCTCAAAGCCAGCCCAGGCGGGAAAGTCCATGTGACTCCTATCTCCAATAAACTACTCAGAAAAAGAAAAAACAGAAGTAACGATGTATCTCAAGTGGTAGAACACTAGCCTTGAGCACAAAGAGGCTCGGGGACAGTGCCCAGGTCCTGAGTTCAAGCCCTAGGACCAGGGGGAAAAAAAGCTCAGGGATAGCACTCAAAGCCTGAGTTCAAGCCCCAGGACTGGCATGCAGAGAAAGAAGCAGAGAGGAGGGCACCTGGCCAGCCTCAAAGAATCAGGAAGGCAGCCTGGAAGGCATGTCCAGGATGGGTTTTGAAGGATACACAGGAGTTTTCCAAGCTTTCTCTGAATGGGTTTGATTGGAGAAGTTTTTGGAATAAGGCAGATATTCTTGGCTAGGGGGAAAAATGTCAAATAGAATGCCTGAGGGGAGGAGAAAGAAGCAAAGAACAAAAGAAGCAGGGGTTGTGGTTGGGGAAAGATATAGAAGAGATCCTCCTGCCTAGAGCCAAAGTGCTGGAATTACAGGTGTGAGCTACCATGCCCAGCTAATGACATCTTTTACCTACCTGCAGGAGGACAGTTTCCCAGGAGGGCTCAGCCAGAGCTCAGAAGATCTCAGCCTGGATTTGGAGGCCCTGCGGGGTAGCGAGTATTTCCAGGACCTGGGCTTAGGGGACCCTTCCCACAGCCAGTTCGGAGGGGCTACAGAGAGCAGGACTCCTGGCCCAGAAACTAAGAGAGATCCATCCTTGTCCAGCTCAGCAGGGGCCCAAGTCCTGCCGAGGAGACGGAGCTGGGAGAGGTCTCGGAGTTGTTCAGGGAGCAGGCGGAGGTCAGTCCAACCCCCCACCACACACACACCTGCCTACCTTCTCTGGTGCACCCTGCCCTCCACCCCCACCCCAGGACTGGGCAGGGGGCACCAAGGCATGCCATCTGTATTGTCTGCCACTAGGGCCACTATCAAAGCATCGATGCTCTGAGAGGTGGCTTACACATACACATGCATGTTCAAACAGCCTGTGGGCATAGAAATCCACAGCCACATGGCAAACACAGGTGGATCACAGACACACCGTTGCCTGCACGGACAGCCTACACACCCCTGCTCAAGCCTCACACTTGCATTCATCCTGTCAGACACCTACCTATTCACCTGTAAGCAGTGTTCTGATTTTGTGTGTGTGTGTGTGTGTGTGTGTGTGTGTGTGTGTGTGTGTGCGCGGGCCAGTACTGGGGCTTTAATTCAGGGTCTAGGCACTATCTCTTAGATGATGATGGTGATGATGATGATGATGATGATGATTATTATTTTCTCAAGGCTGATGTTGTAACACTTGATCCACAGCTCCACTTCCAGCTTTTGGTGGCTCATTGGAGATAAGAGTCTCATGGATTTTCCTGCCTGGGCTAGCTTACAACTGTGATCCTCAGATCTCAGTCTCCTTAGTAGCTAGGATGACACAGCGTGCCTGGCTCACTGCATGTTTTGCACACACACTCCCTGCACATGTATACACCAAGCCACAGACTAACTTGTGATCAAAACATAGGAGTTGAAACCAGGTGTTGTTAGATTACACCTGTCATCCTAGCTATTTGGAAAGCTAAGATCTGAGGATCATGGTTCAAAACCAGCCCAGGCAGGAAAGTCAGTGAGACTTTTATGCCCAATGAACCACCAAAAGAAAACATTTTAAAAAAAAAAAAAGAAGCCAGAAGTGGAGCTGTGGTCCAAGTGGCAGAGTACTAGCCTTGAGCACAAAAGCTCAAGTACAGCACCCAGGCCCTGAGTTCAAACCCCAGGACCAGCACACATACACATCACACACACACGCACACACACATACACACACACACACACACACACACACACACACAGAGTGGGGGGGGGGGAAAGAGAGAGGGTGCTAAGCCTGGTGTGGTGGCACACACTCTCAGCACTCTGGAGAGAGAGGCAGGAAGATCATGAGTTCAAGGCCAGCCTGGGAAACCTAGTAACTTCTGTCTCCAGAAAACCAAGTGATGGGGGTCGTAGCAACTTTCTCTGCACCCCACAGTTCCAGCATCTAATGCTGGAGGAGCTTCAGTCCCTCCTCCTGTGTCCCCCAAATAACCTAGTCTGTGCATTAAGGGTAGGTCTGATGCAAATGAAGCTTTGACCAATCTAACCTGCCTTCCCCCTGAAAGTGGGGTGTGGGGGAGAGCTGAAGCTGGTCCCATGATTTGGGGAACTGAAGGCCCCTCTCTGTGGCTTTTACCCTCTCCTTGATCTGGAAGCCCCACACCCCATGGGTTGGATCCGGGATCCGGGAGCAGATGAAGACCCCCTAAGATTCTCCACCCTCTTCCTCCACCAGGCTCAGTCTGGACACTCCAGATATGGGGCCCTGTCTCCCTCGCTGGCTGGCTAGCCTGGCTCTTAATCTGTCAGGAGAGGGCTTGAAGACTTGGACCCAAGGGGGTGTGTCTGGAGACAGGAGCCCAGCAGAACACCCAGGCAAGGTGGGTGTAACCCTGCGGCCAGTCCCCCAGAAGCCAACAAACGCTGTAGGTACAAGTCATCTTAGGATGCTGGGGTGGAGTGGGTGCTGCAGGGTGCGGGTTTAACTCATGACCGGTGCGGCTCTGGGCCCTGGGACTCGCATCTGCAATCGCTGGGTTTCTGTGGCTAACAGCACGCAGAACAGAGGTGGGTTATAAAGAAAAGAGGTTGGCTCAGGAGTCTAGAGGTCAAATACCCCATATCTGGACCTTGATGATGGATTGCAGGTAGCAGAGTCCCAGGGCAATGTATATGACTGTCACAGGGCACAAGACCGGAGGTGTTGCTAGGCAGGTGCAATACCGGTTGAGCCACGCCTCTGCTAAAGCCACGCCCCGTCGTTAGAGCCACGCCCCATCACTTGATTCATTCCTCCCACAACTTGATTGACGCCCCTGTCATTCAAGCCACTCCTCCTACCGCCCCCTCCCTTGAGCCACGCCCCCAACGCTTGAGTCATGCCCTGTCGCTGGAGCCACGCCCCCATTACTGGAGCTCAACTTCCTATAACTTAAGCCGCGCCCACGTCATTTTGGCCACGTGCTCTGCCTCTGGGGCTGAATCCCAGGCTTAGGGTGATGCTTTTATTCACACAGGAATCGGGCAGCCTGGAGAAGAAAGTATTACGGTCCAGATCCGTGCCCCTGGCCTGCGAGGACATCGGTTGTCTGGAGCTGGCTCCAGAGTGTGAAATGTGCACTTTACCTGGCCAAGGTAGTCGCGCCTGGCAGGGTTCCTGCATTCAAACTACTGGAGTGGGAAGATGTACATACATTCCCATCGATGGAGCCCCAGCTGGACCTCAGAAATGCAAGCGGTTGGGAAAAGAGATGTAGGGCCTCTTGGGACAGAATGCTGGGTCTTGAGAGTCCCCAAAAGGGGTGTGGCTTCCCGCACCTGCTCCTCCCCCTCTCCCTTGGGGGCTTGAGCACCAGTGGAGCTGCCAAAGGCGAGGACTTTGCTGGTTTTCCGTTCCCTATTTTCATCTCTTTTCCCTAACAGTCTGCCAGTCCTGCAGGGGTAGGCCGGGGCAGGGCTGGACCCTCACACTGGTGCCCTCTGGGGTGGGGGTGTCTTGTAGAACTACAGCCCCCAGTGCTGCAATGCCTAGAGAAGGACCACGTGGAACCCAACCATGTGTGAGTGATTGCCTGAGGGGGGAGGGAATGGGATGGGATGAGAGGAAGCAGAGGCTCAAGTCCAGGAATGCCCCCATGCACTTTCAGTATTGCTGGTCTTTTTGTGGTGTGTGTGTGTGTGTGTGTGTGTGTGTGTCCGTGTGTGCGTCCATGCCTGTGCGTGCACGCAAACGTGCATGCACGCCCATACTGGAGCGTTAACTCAAGGCCTAGGCCCTGTCCCTTAGCTTTTTCACTCAAGGCCGGTGCTCTTTCACTTGAGCCACAGCTCCACTTCCAGCTTTTTGCTGGTTCATTGGAGAGTAAGAGTCTCATGGACTTTACTGCCGAGGCTGGCTTTGAACTGCAGATCTCAGCCTCCTGAGTAACTAGGATTACAGACATGAGCCACCTGCACCGGGCTGGCTGCAGCCATCCTGCTCTTAAGCGATTGTGGCTAGCCACTGCCCAATTTTAACTCCCAATAATGGGGGGGATGGATTGGGACTTCCTGTTAGGGTCTGCTTCAGGGCCCAGGGCTGGGCTCATGTTAGGTACTGTGTATGTGACCTTGGGTGACTGTGGACTGTTTTGAACTCAATTCCTCTCCAGGTTGATGGTACAGGAAGTGCTTCAAGAACTTCGACAGTACCATGGGTAAGTGGGAAAGGAGACAGGGCGAGGAACAGGCATGAGGGACAGGTGTGGGAGAGGACAAATGTGGAAAGAGGTGAGGGAGAAGTGTGGGAAACACAACAGGGGAAAACCAGTGTAACAGTGCCCCCCTCCCTTGCAGGTGTGAGGTGAGGTGTAAAGAAAATAGAGCAATGGGGAGTGGTAACACATGTCTATAATCCCAGCACTTGAGAGTTGAGGAAGGAGGATAGTGAGTTAGAGGCCAGCTTCAAACATAGCAATACCCCGTCTCAAAATATAACAATTATAATAAAAACAAGAGGGAGCTGGGTCCTGCAAATGCTGGTACCAGGACTCGACGCAGGACTTTGACCTCTCACTTTTTTTTTTTTTTTTTTGTCGGTCGTGGGGCTTGAATTCTGGACCTGAGCGCTGTCCCTCAGCTCTTCGGCTCAAGACTCTACCACCTGAGCCACAGTGCCACTGCTAGTTTTCTGGTGGTTTATTGGAGATAAGAGTTTCACGGCTGGCTTTGAACCTCGATCCTCAGATCTCAGCCTCCCGAGTAGCTAGGATTACAGGCGTGAGCCATTATCGCCCAGCAACCTCTCACTTTTTGCTCAAGGCTAGCACTGTACCACTTGAACACAACTCCCTTTCTAGCATTTTGCTTGTTCCTTGGAGATAATTTCATGGACACACACACACACACACACACACACACACACACACACACACACATGAGGTGTCATGACTTGTTACTGCCCTCTGCTGGAGAATTTATCACACTATCCTTGTTGTGGGGGTGGCCCCTCTTTTGCACCCCTAAGCCCTAAAGCTCTGAAATGAGGGGCGGGAGAAGGACAAAACCAGCTGTGGAGTCAAACATCTGTCCCCTTTGTCATGCAGGGCCCGGCAGCGGGCTCACCTGTCCACCAGCCCTGGGGGACCCCACTCCAGCCTCACCTGGTTTGAGTTCCTGTCTGAGTAAGTACAAGCTGTCAAAGCAGCTGGGTTGGGGTCTCTGTGCTTCCCCCCATCTCAACTTTATCCTAAAGAATGATGGGAGCCAGGCACTGGTCGCTCACGCCTGTAATCCTAGCTACTCAGCAGGCTGAGATCTGAAGATCCTGGTTCAAAGGCAGCCCTGGTAGGAAAGTCTGTGAGACTCTCATCCCCAATACACCACTCAGAAAACTGGAAGTGACACTGTGGCTTCAGTGATACAACACTAGCCTTGAGCTGAAAGCTGAGAGACAGCGCCCAGCCTAGGCCCAGAGTTCAAGGCCCACGACCAAAAAAAAAAAAAAGGATGGTGGGAATTTGGGGCAGAGTTAATTCTGGGGAGCACAGACAAGACTGTTGTCCCCAGATTTCCCCCCCCTTTCTCTCTCTCTTTCTCTATCTCTTCTCTCCCTCTTCTCTCCTCTCTCTCTTCTCTCTCTCTTCTTCCCCCCTCAACAAATATTTAAAGCTAGCACACATCCATATATCCTAGAAGAACAGGATCTCTCTCCAGTAAAACAGTTCTGCCATGGCTGGCTTTATTAATATTTATTTAAATGGCACTGGGCTGGTCACACAGGGGAATTGGGCAGGAACGTGAAGGCCAGAACATTGGTGGGGAAATGGCTTTTTAAAAATGGGTGGGCCAAAGCTGGGTGCAGATGGCTCGTGCCTGTAATCCTAGCTACTCAGGAGGCTGACATCTGAGGTTGGAGGTTCAAAGCCAGCCTGAGCAGGAGAAGTCTATGAGACTCTTATCTCCAATCAACCACCAGAAAACCAGAAGTGGCGCTGTGGCTCAAGTGGTAGAGTGCTAGCTAGCCTTGAGCAAAGGAGGTTGGGGAGTGTACCCAGGCCCTGAGTTTAAGCCCCACAACTGCAGATACTGACAGAAAAAAAAATATGTGGGCCAAACACCAATGTCTCACAGCTATGATCCTAGCTGTTCAAAGGCTGAGCTCTAAGGATTCAGTTCAAAGCCAGACCCAGCAGAAAAGTCATTAAGATTCTTATCTACAATAAACCACCATCAAAAAAGAAGGTGGTATTAGAGCTGTGACTCAAGTGGTAGAGTGCTAGCTTTGAGCAGAAAAAAAAGGGCCTAGGTACTGTCCCTAAGTTGAAGGGCCAGGACACACACACACACACACACACACACACACACACACACACACACACACACACACAAGTGGATTTAAGGTGGAGGTGTGGCTCAAGTGGTAACATACCATCCTTAGTAAAAACAAAACAACAAAAAATGGGCTTGGAAGGTGGCTTAGTGATAGAGTGCTTGCCTGGAATGCATGAAGCCCTGGGTTTGATTCCTCAGTACCACATACACAGAAAAGGCTGGAAGTGGTGCTATTGCTCAAGTGGTAGAGTGCTACCCTTGAGCAAAAGAAGCTCAGGGACAGTGCCCAGTCCCTGAGTCAAGTCCCAGGACTGGCCAAACAAACAAAAAAGAGTAAGAGATAAATTAAAATTAAGAGAAAGCACCTAGACCCTGAATTCAAGTCCCAGTACACACACACACACCCCAATAATATATTAGTCCAACACTGGTGGCTCATGCCTATAATCCTCCTCAAGAAGCTGAGAGCCAGAGTTTTGAGGTCGCCTGGGCATCTCCAATTAACTACCAAAAAGCTGGACTGTGGGTGTGACTCTGGTGGCCAAGCAAGTATGAGGACCTGAGTTCAAAAAGAAAAGAAAGGCCAGGTGCTGGTGGCTCACATCTGTAATCCTAGCTACTCAGGAGGCTGAAATCTGAGGATTGTGGTTCAAAATTACACAGCAGAAAACTGGAAGTAGAGCTGTGGCTCAAAGTGGTAGAGCCAAAGAGCTCAGGGACAGAGCCCAGGCCCTGTGTTCAAGCCCCACAATTGCCAAAAGGAAGAAAAAGAAGGAAGAAAGGAGTAAGGATGTGGGGAGGCATATTCCAGAATTGTGGGATGCCAAGGCGACCCCACCCACAACCCTGTCAATCTTCTTGTCCCCTAGGAACGAAGATGGCACAAGCAAGAATGAGAAGCCAGACAAGAGCACCCGGGTGAAGCGGAGCCTGAGCTCCCTCCGCAGCCGGGTCACCAGGCAGAAGGAGAAGGTCAGGAGGGTTGGGCAGGGGTGAGGGGCTCCTTCCTCCTCCTCAGCTCCATAGATGACCCTTGACCTGGGAGCCCAGGTATTTCAAGTTATTGCTATCCTATGCAGGGGAAGAGCCTAGTTCTCAGAGACAAGGCTCAGGATGCTCGTGAGAGGCGTGAGTGTGCCAACGGCCACCAGCTGGTACCAGGGACCTTCTCCGGCCATTCCAGCTGTCCCTTGTGTGACAAGCCTTCGCTGAGCTCTGGTGAGTCCACCAGTCCAGTCTCCCCCCCCCCCCCCCCAACAGCCTCTGTCTTCCCATCTTTCCCGTCAGTCCTGTGGTCACCTTTGCATTGCCTATCTTTGTTCAACTTTGTGGGCAGATCGAGAACACAGGATGGTTGCTGAGGATGGGGGAGCCCTTGGGTGACCTCAAGACAGGTGAAATTCCTGTTGCCTCGACTTTGGTGGTCACAGGTATCACCCTCAAAATGAGACTCCACGCAGGGTGTGCATTAGCTGGAGGGAGGGGGGGTACTGTGATAAAGTACTACTCTGTACCTACTGGCTGAAACACCGATTATGGCCGCACAGTACTAAAGGATAGAGTTCCAAGAGGAAAGTATCAAGAAAGCCCAGAGACGCGGCTTGAGTTGTTGGGGGCGTGGCTTGAGGGGTAAGAGGGTGTGGCTAAGCGCTGGGGTGTGACTTTGCATGGTGTGGGCGTGGCCCAAGTGGTATGAAGGGTGATTCAAGTTGCAGGGGCGTGGTTTGAGTGAAGGGGGAGTTGCTCAAGTGGTAAGAGGCATGGTAAGAGGGGGTGTGGCTCAAGTTTCAGGGGTGTGCCTTAAGCGATGGGGAAGTGGCTCAGTTGGGTGTGGCTTCAATGGTAGAGGGTAGCCCTAGTGATAGGAGGTGTGGCTTACGCAGTAGGGGCGTAGCTCAAGTGATAGAGCCCCTGCCTTCAGGCTCAAGGCCCTAAGTTCATTCTACAGATTTGACTTCCCCACACAAAAAAGTTTCAGATGTAGAGCACTGGTAGCTCACGCTTGTGAGCCTAGGTACTCAGGAGGCTGAGATCTGAGGATCAAAGTTTGAAGCCAGCAGGAAAGTCGGTAAGATTGTTATCTCAAAGCAGCAAAAAAAACTAGAAGTAGAGCTGAGGTTCAAGTGGTAGGCCAGCCTTGAGGAAAAAAAAAATGCACAGGGAAAGCATCCAGGCTTTGAGTTCAAGCCCCAGTACTGACACCAAAACAACAACAAAAAGTTTCAATAGTGTCACGATTCCTGTTGTAAAGGTGCTAAGAGGACGGGAGGCGCAGCACAGTGGTAGGGTAGCAGGGTGAGATTCAGTTGTAGGGGCATGAAGTGGGGGCGTGGCTCCACCGTAGGGGGTGTGGCTTGCGCTAGGCCTTTGGTTATATCCCTCGTACCACAAAGGCAAAAGCTGATTGGAGGTGACACCGATCTATAATCCTAACTACTTAAGAGGTTGAGAATGGGAGGATCATGGTTTGAAGCCAGCTCAGGCACAAAAGTTCACATCCCTCTCGATACAGCTGAGTGATATGGTGTGCACCTGTCACCCCAAGCAACATGGGGGCTGAGATTGGGAGGATTATGGTTATCAGGACAGCTTAGACAGAAAAGTCTGTAAAAGTTGATCTCCACAGAAGGAAAGTTGGACTTGGTGGGATGTGCCTGTAATGCCAGTGATGCCAAGTGAGACCTTATCTCACAGCTGTGCTCTACCACTTGAGCAATGCCTCCAGTACAGCTTTTTGCTGGTTAATTGGAGATGAGAGTCTCACAGAGACTGTTTTGCTGGGCTGAATCTGAACCTTCCTCCTCCAGTTTGGGGGGGGGGGGAGGCGTGATAAATTGAGGATATGAGTCTCATGACTTTCATGAAAAGTCAGCCTCAATTGACTCCGAACCTTGATCCTCAGATCGCAGCATCCTGAGTAGTTAGGAATACAGATGAGCCACTGGAGCCCGGGCCTTTTCCCATTTTTAAATGGTTGAAAATGATCATTTGGGGACCCACAGACGTGGCATGACATTCACATTTCAGTGTTTATTAAGAAGGTTTTGTTGGGGACAGCAGTGCCTGCTTCATGTAGATTGTCTGTCTCAGCTTTCAAATTGAGGAGATTCCAGACTAACCAGCAAAGTTGGAAATCTTTACCGGAGGGCTGCTTACAGAAAATGTTTTCTGCCAGGCATGCTGCCTCAAGCTTGTAATCTTTGCTGCTTTGGGAGGCAAAGATCAGGGGAATCAGCCCAGATGTAAAAGTTCCTAAGACTCCATCTCAACCAATGGCTGGGTGCGGTGCAGTGGTGCATGCCTGCTGTCCCAGCTGTGGGGGAAGCACAGTAACTGGGCACAGTGGCTCAAGACTGTTGTCCTTAGTGCTTAAGGGAAGAGTCCAGGCCAAGCTGGACAAAAGAAGGAAGGAAGGAAGGAAGGAAGGAAGGAAGGAAGGAAGGAAGGAAGGAAGGAAGGAAGGAAGGAAGGAAGGAAGGAAGGGAGGAAGGGAAGGAGGGAGAGAGGGAGGGAGGGAGGAAGGGAGGGAGGGAAGAAAGGAAGGAAGGAAGGAAGGTAGGAAGGAAGACAGGAAGGAGGGAGGGAGGGAGAGAGAGGGAGGGAAGGAAGGAAGGAAGGAAGGCAGGAAGGAAGGAAGGAAGGAAGGAAGGAAGGAAGGAAGGAAGGAAGGATGGAAGGAGGGAGGGAGGGAGGGAAGGAGGGAGGGAGGGAGGGAAGAGAAAGAAACCACTAGCTTATCCCTAAGCCAGGCAATCAAGCAGTAAGCAGGGCAGACCCAGGAGGGTGGCTTACTATAGCTTAGAGATCAATAAACCCCTTACCAATATAGCCACAACTGATAAGAGTTCCTTCCAGCAGTGTTCAATTTCCTGAATGACACTTTACAATCCCAGGTTTTGCAGACATAATCACAATGTGTAGCTTTATTGTACTGAGTGCTTGCAAATATCTCAAGAACTAATGTGCTCAACATAGATATGACTTCAGTAACCCTTACTGGCAACCAGGTAAGATATCAACTCTGGGAGATACTTGTTTTTGTCCAGGTCAGGATTTGAACTAGGAGCCTGAGTCCGCTCCCATTACATTGCTTGATTTGTCTAAAACACACTTTTTAATTTTGTGCCAGTTAAAGGGATTTGGCCCAGTATTGTCCCTTTGCTATTTTGCTCAAGGCTCATGTTCTACCACCTTAGGCACAGCTCCACTTCTGACTTTTTGCTGGTTTACTTAACTGCCTGGGCAGGCTTGGAACCATGATCCTCAGATCTCAGTCTCCTGTGGATGGATGTGTGTGTGGATGGATGGGTGGATGGATGAAAGGATGCATGGATGAATGGATGTGTGGATGGTTGTGTATGTGTATGGGTGGATGGATGGATGAGTGAATAGATGCATGGATGTGTGTGGATGGATGGATGGATGGATGGATAAGTAGATGGATAGATGAAAGAATGCATGGGTGAATTGATGAATAGCTGGATGGATGGGTGAATGGATGAATAGATGGATGGATGAATGGATGCATAGATGGATGTGTGGGGGGGGGTGGGTGGGTGGGTGGGTGGGGGGGGTGGGTGGATGGATGGATGAGTGAATGGATGGATGAATGGTTACTTTGAACATGTTTTTCAGATTCTGAATGTTAGCTTTAGACTTTCTGATGGACCTGGGGTGAGTGTCTGACATATTCTGGGGCACTTGGAGCCCTGTTTTGAGTATTTGGGGGTACCTGTCTGGGTTGTCTATGTGTCTGAGATCTGACCACATGCCAGGAAGGTGATTAATTTGTCTCAGATCTGCTTTATAGTAGCAAATATCACACCCTCTTAATTCCCCCCTCAAATTCCCTGCCACCAGAGGAGCCTCCTTTAGTTAACTAAGACTCAAAATGCCCCCAGAGATACCTGATGGCAGACCCCGCCAGGCCTTTCTGATTCCCTCAAGACAACACCAGTCCTACTGCTCTCTCCCAAGATTCTTTCTTCCTTTCTTTCCTCCCTTTCTTTCCTCCCTTTCTTTCCTCCCTTTCCTTCCCTCCCTCCCTCCCTTCCTCCCTTCCTTCCTTCCTTCCTTCCTTCGTCAGTCATGGGGCTTGAACTCTGGGCCTGTGTGCTGTCCCCCAGCTCTTCAGCTCTACCACTTGAGCCACAGCACCACTTCTGGCTTTCTGGTGGTTTATTGGAGATAAGAGTCTCACAACTTTCCTGCCCGGGCTAGCTTTGAACCGTGATCCTCATATTTCAGCCTCCTGAGCCACCAGTGCCCTGCTCCAAGATTCTTTCTTTAGACCTGCTAAATATCCAGGGCTTCAATAGACCCTACAATATGTTCCAAACCCTATTTTTTGCCCACCTTGAGTATTCCCATCCCACGGATACCTCATCCAACTCCTTCCCAGATCCACAAAGCATTAGCTAATCCACAAAACACACTCCCCGACACCTCCAATCTCTCTTGATTTTTTTTTTTTTGTTGGCCAGTCCTGGGGCTTGAACTCAGGGCCGGGTACTATCCCTGAGCTTCTTTTGCTCAAGGCTAGCATTCTACCACTTGAGCCACAGCACCACTTATGGCTTTTTCTGAGTCTGTGGTACTAAGGAATCAAACCTAGGGCTTCATGTATGCTAGACAGGCACTCTACCACAGCCATATTCCCAGCCCCTCCAATCTCTCTTGAGGATCTTCCTAACTGCACTCTTCCCTCAGAGGGTCCCTAAATCCACTAAATCCCAAGTCCTTGTGGGCCCTGTCCCTCTCCTCAGATTCTTTCCCCAGACGTACTAATCAATGACCCCACAAAATGCCCCTCGACCCTCCCTTGAGGGTCCCCCCTGTTCAAAACTCCCCATATTGGCTTATAAGGAGGTCCCCCTTATCCTGTTTACTCTTTTTTAGGGGGGGGGGGTACTGAAGCATGAATTCATAGCCTGGATGCTGTCCCTTAGCTTTTTTGCTCCAGGCTAGCTCTGACCCACTTGAGCCACTCTTCCACTTACGGTTTTTTTGGTGTTTCTTTGGAGATAAGAGTCTCACAGACGTTCCTGCCTAGGCTGGCTTTGCACTGCGATAGTCAAATCCCAGCCTCCGGAGTAGCTACAATTTCAGGCTTGAGTTAACAGCGCATGACTGTTCCGTTTACTTTAAAAACAACAACAAAAACCCTCATCCCACTGACCGGCCCCCGGGGGGGGGGGTCCCCCTCACCCTCACCACAA